CGCGCCTCCAGGCGGTCATAGAATATCCGAGAAACGGGCAATTAAAAGGGGGTAATTGGATAGATTCCTTTTCGTAGGACCACCCAGTGCATACGTGTATTATCCGCTGTTTCTTTCCGCGAGTATAAACTGTTATAGATGTTTGAGTACTTCACAAAACAAATGAATGTAATACAATTTAGATCTGCGATCATATCTGGACAACTATATGCAGTTAACACACATTGATGAAAACAATGGGTAATATTAAGTAAATATAAGAGCAATAATTGAAGATCAATGAAAAACGATTTTGCAGAAACAACTGAGTCGAGTGACTTTAAGTGGGTTTGCTCACTGTTGGGATCTTAGAACGATTAAAATGTTCATCCATGCTCTAAAACTTTACAGAAATTTTGTGAAATGTCTAGCGAAATGCTATACGTTCAATAATGTTCAATAATAGAGCTGACTTTTGTTATTATCGAACCTTATAGGAATATTTTGTTACGTGACAAGCATTTTATCTTTAGATCTCTGAGTGTTTAAATTATAAGTCAGATTAAAAAGGATCTTTTAGATACAGAAAGACTCATAGGGTAATACAACTAGTCATATTTAAATAGTAACTATATATAGTAAGAATGGGTAATTTAACATTACTGGCCCGACAACTCCTGACGACAAGAGGATAGTGAAATTATTATTTTTTGGTACCACTCGCATACTATTATTACAAATCGATCAAAGTGTTCGGGCACTTATGCGCAATACTGTTTGAGAATTACTAAATATCTAGAAAGACAATTCTTTATGTATCATGTATAATTTGGTTCGATTGGCGATGAAAGATATATACGAAGTGTAGCGACGAGTTTATTATAATATTTTAGAAGGGTAGGAAATTATTACTTCAGAGTCTGCTTTACGAGTTATTTCTTTGTTCAGACTCCCGGAGATTTTAATTTTGATTGGTTCGCGCCGTGATGGTTAATTACTTCCTCGAGAAGGATTTTAATTAGTTATGGACCTCTTTCGACGGATACAATTTCATAGTTTCTTCCCTTCGAATCTAATCAGAATCTAATTTACCCAGTCTATTACATCCCCTGACATCAAACTGTGATTTTCTAACAAACGCCAGTTGCTTGACTGATTAATATCACTTTTTACGCGTCTTCGAGTTCATTTATAGCTTTACGTTATAAAATAATTAACTATATACGAAGAACGTGTTATGTAAAACATATTACAATATATATAAAACTACGAAGGACATTTTATATGAAATATACCAAGCCTTTCACTTTTTGCTTATTATTCGAACAATATCAAAGAATATCGCGAACAACAAACCTACAGCAGAAAAATTGTGCGCAGTGTTGCGCGAATAACAATCAAAATCCTTTGATTTGTCCGAGCAGATTCTCTGAATAAATTATACTAAAGAGGAGACAATCGCGCTTGTGCATTGACCGACAATCGATTGCTATGTAGATCGATACTTCTTATCTGCGATCGGGAAAAATTACCCGTCATTAATTCTCACCTAGGTCTTTCAAACCTATCATCAGCTATTGTATAATGAAACTGCGATACAATTGCATTTTTTCCCGCAACATCTACTCTCAGATATACACACGTATACTACCATTTTTAAGTATATGGAGATTTGAGACGATTTTTATTAATGATACATGAATTTTAATGAAACAATAATAAATGAGAAGTTAAATACACAGAATTTAGAGAGATGTTAATTTTTAAATATTATTGCTGGTATTAATCATCATAGCCTGTCATTTCTAACTTGATAAAACGTATGCTTTAATCAAACGTGCCGAGGACGATTAAAAGCCAAAATACCATATTATCTGACACATACAGACGCAATTTTTTACATTGCTTTACGATACCTTTAATAAACCTTGTACTCGTCCTGAATTTTGTAATTTCATAATTAAATTACGTTCTATACAAAATAACTTTCGTTCGCATAATTTTGAGCGGTACTGTACACACAATGGATTTTTCTGCTCTAAATACTAAAATACCATCGATCAGATTCACGACTGTTGCTCGACTACACGCGACTTTACAAAAAAAAAAAAGCCAGCATGCACGGCGAATTAATCGTCTCGATGGTCGATTCGCGGGCCGGGGATCGGATTTGTTGTTTTCACCGGTGGTGCAGATTTTTTTCCCTGCCGGAGACACGTTCGCGAATTAATGGTGATGGTAGTAGTCGAGTGGCGGTAGC